AAAAAAAGAAAAAAAAAAAAAATATATATATATATATATTCACTGATTGCCTGGGGACACACTTTTCCTCCCATTAACCTATTTATCTTTCTTTCCTTTTTTTTTTTTTCTTTTTTACAGAGAGGTTTTTGCTATAGGGTGCATGCAATCGCCAGAAAGACAAAGAGAGACAGATAGAAAGCGAGAAATCACCCCCAGGGGGGTGGCCACACTGCAGTCCCTTCTCCATTCTCTTCTCTGGATCTTGGGCACACGTGCGCACGCACCCGTCATGAGTTTAAGCCACCAGGTCCGGGACTTGAACCACAGTCGACTACGTGGGAGTCCAGCGACATAGCCATTACACCAATTGCTGGTCCCTAGCTTTCATTTTAAAAAAGAATTATTTTATTTAACTTTATCTATTTATTTAAATTTGACCAGAGAGAGACAGAGAGAGGGAAAGTGAGAATGCAAGTAGCCAGGTCCAGGAATTGAACCGTGGTCAGACATGTGGGGGTCCAGCAGCCTTAACCACTACCCCACCTGCTAGCCCCCGTATTTATCTTTAACAAACTCTGCATGGGAGCAGAGCAACAGGACAGACCCCAATGAATAGAGGGGACTCTTGCAGGATTGACAAGCAGAGAACAGAAAGTCAAGCCAGGCTGCCTGATAGTTGGCAGAGAGGCCACAGGCCTGTCCACATCAGTCGAAGCAGCCAGTCTGTTACTATCAGTCGCCAGGGTCTGCAGAATGCTGACTCAGGGAGAGTCAACCTGCCCATCCTCCCAGCAGGGAGGAAGATGACTTGGGTGAAAACCAGTGTGCACCTGGTCCCTTCAGCGCCACCTCCTACTCTGCACCACTGGGTACCTTGCCTCAGTCGTCCCCCTTTCCTGCCCCTGCCCCCATGACCAGTCCTTCTTCACTGGCAGCATCTGCACAAGTGGCTGTGCTGAGTGGGAGATCCTGAGCGGGTAAATGTAGCAAGATTGCTATGGTGAGCAGCCAGCTGGCCTGCATCCAGGCCACAGTCTCAGGCCCTCAGGTGCCGGATCCAGTTAAGTAGTCTGGAGCCCCAGGCAGGAGGAAACACCCAGTTAGTCCAGGGTAAAATTCTGTTGGGACAGTACTACAGTCACCTACCCTCAGGGATGAATACATACCCCAGGAGGGAGAACTGGACCTGCAAAGTGGCCTCCTTTTTCCCACTGCCAAACCTCAGGCATTAAAAGCACATGCTTCAGTGCCAGCTTCAGAAGCAGGCCCCTCCCCCAAGGCTATTTCCAGATCACCTATCACCCCACACCAGGACAGCCCCTCCCTGTTCTTGGCCAGCAGCAAACCCCAAAGCATGTCAACTAGAGGGCAGCGGGGAGGCCAGGTGGAAGGGGGTGGGGGTCTGAGAGTCAGGACAGCAGGTGGTGCCGGTGGTGCAAAGCCTTGTGGTGAGAGACTCCAGCCCGCAGAAGGAACTGTCCCTGCTGACAGAGCAGCTCTGGAAAATGCCTAGAGCAGTCAAAATGCTCAGACCTAGACCAGCAACCTCTGTGAC